AGACTCCGACTCAAAAAAAAAAAAAAGAAAGAAACTGGTGTGAATTCTGACCCCTCCTCTCTTTCTTCTGACAGTATGCCCACCTGCAGGGAGCCTATAACTGGACTTCCCTGGGCTGGGCTAGGATTGGTGGTCAAGGCTCACACTAGTCCAGTACCACCAGTGACTGGGTGGTGGTCTGTTCAATTTAAGGGTTTAGTTAGATAACCCACTTGCCCACAAGCATAAACCACATTCTGCAAAACTGACTTTATTACTAATAAAAGTGATATTTGCCCCATCTGTCTTGATCTTGTTCTCAGTTGGTTCAAGATTCAGGCTGGAGAGAAAAATGTTATTTTCCTCAAACCCCAACAAATGTGCATCAGAAAGTGTTTGTGAGGTAAGGACTTGGCAATTTTTACCTATAGACCTCTATGTTACATAAATATTTGCTGTAACAACTATTTGTATTGCTGTTGACCAAAACAAATAAAAACAACACAAAAAGGCAATTTGTGCTTTATACCAGAGCCTCATGTTCTCAGATAAAAAAGCAAAACAATATTTGTTCTGGGCAATTCAATAAATTTCTGGCCTGTAGCAAGCCATCCTTCTTTCAATGGTAAGATCTGCCTCTCAGAGAGTTGAGAAAAGGGTTTGCGGCCCTCCGTGAAAGATCCTTTTACAAGCCATGGATGTAATTAGTGGCTCTGTAAAATCTGCTTGAGAAAATAACTTCATAATAGGACTAGAAGGGAAGGCGTATGAAAACTAACAATATATCCATCACATGCCATGTGCTAGGAAGTCTGTTAGAATTTGGGGTGTGTTATCATATTCCGTCCTCCAAGACTATATGAGGGATGGGAATTTGAGGCCTAGGAAAGATAAGCACGGGCCCCCATCAGCATAACTAATAAGGGGGAAGCCAAGATTTGAACCTGGGACTCAGCCTAAGCCTGTGGCTAAAGGAAAGCAAATATTCCACTCCAAAATGAAACCATTCCCGCAGGGTTAAGAATTGCATGATGGGTTCTGGACAGAAATATAGCAATAATTAAGCATTAATCAAAAGAGCTCTGTAACCGGGCTCGGTGGCTCGGCCTGTAATTCCGTGCCCTTGGGAGGCTGAGGTGAGTGGATTGCCTGAGCCCGCGGGTTTGAGACCCACCTGGGCAGGCGAGACCCCATCTCTACAATAAATCAAAAAATTAGCTGAGCGTGGTAGTGTGCGCCTGTAATTCTGGCTGCTCGGAAGGCTGAGGCGGAAGGATCGCCGGAGCCCAGCAGGCGAGGCTGCGATGGCCGGGAGCAGCCATGGCACTCCAGTCTGGGTGACAGAGTGAGATTCCAACTCAAAAAACAAACAAACAACAACAACAACGGCAAAAAGAGCTCTGGGAGGTAGATAGGTACCAGCAGTCAGGGGCCTGGCAAGAGAAGGAGAAGGAAGCCTTGGCTCAAATGGTTTAATTGAAAAAGGTTTCACGAAAGGCTGCACTTTGGTCCACTTCCTTGTTGCTGAAAGTCACGTATCACTAGATACTGACCATTTGCATCCCCATTGTTCCTACAGACAGGATTTCTGACATCAGGATCATGAGACCGTTTGAGAACTGATGTGCATTCTCCATTGTTCCTATAGACAGGATCTCTGACATTAGAATAATAAGGCTATGACCAAACTAGGGGTTAGGTAAGAGTCCTATTGCTTGCTGCACAGAAAGCCAATCACTGAGACAAAAGTATTGCCAGGGGAGAAGTCTTTTTAACTGGGTGATATCAGACAAGGAGAACAGAAGATCAGTCTCAAATCCATCTTCCCAACGATTGACACTGGGGGCTTACAGAGTAGGGGAAGGAACCTAAAACAGCAAATAGGAAGGTGTAAGGAAGAATCACGTTGAGTGAGGAGGGGTCTGGCTTCTCATTCATTGTCTGGATGCAATGTTCTGGTGAGTTTCAGTCCCTTGCCTGAGGGTCAGTCTGTGGAGAAAAGAACTCAGAGAAGGTAAATACAAGTTTTAAGATCAGGAGGATCAATTTCTACGTTCATTCTAAACACTCCATAAGTATCAGCTCTATGGGGAAATTAGACTGGTTTCAGTTGCTTAAGGTGTTTTTCAGATTCCAAATTCCAGGGAAACAACTGCTGCCAGTTTGAAGATCCCTCTCTCCTAGGGGAATGGAATCAGCATGAGAATACAAGAACACAGCTTCTTCATCTCTCTGTCCCACGACTTCACCCTTCACTCTTCAACTAATCAGTGATGGCCATACTTCAGCCCACTCCAAACTCTGAAAATTCCTAGCCCCAAACTCCTCAGGGAGACAGATTTGAAGTTTCCTCTCATCTCCTTGTTACCAAGCAAGCTTGGCAACTCATTGCTGCACACCAAAATAAACAAGCATGAGATGTAATGAAAAGGTGATTTTATTCCAAAAGTAGGCAGATGGGGAAATGGCCAGGCTCATGCCTCAAAGAAACCATTTCAGGTTTTTAGGCTGAATGCAAGGATATAAAAAGGGAAACTTGGTATGGGGAAACATGTGGGTCAGGGCACAGAGTGTGTCTTATTCTGATGGCTTATCTTGGGTGATGGTCCCCCTGGAGGTCTGGTTGGTGTCAGTTGTAGTCAGGTTACGGATCAGCCCCAAACGGGAGGATACTGCAGGCAGGATGTTTTAAGATTAGCCCCTCAGAATTCTAAGCAAGCACACGTTCAGATAAGTGTACATGTTGCAGGAAATTATCTGATAGATATAGAGAGGAAAGAAGGTTCTAAAACATGTTTCAGTGTTTAAGATTAAGAAAGAGCTCGGTCTCAGCCTGTAATCCCGTGCCTTTGGGAGGCTGAGGTGAGTGGATTGCCTGAGCCCGCGGGTTCGAGACCCACCTGGGCAGTGAGACCTCATCTCTACAATAAATCAAAAAATCAGCCGGGCATGATAGCACATGCCTGTAATTCCGGCTACTTGGAAGGCTGAGGCGGAAGGATCACCGGAGCCCAGCAGGCAAGGCTGTGGTGGCCGGGAGTGGCCACTGCACTCCAGTCTGGGCAATAGAGTGAGACTCCAACTCAAAAAAAAAAACAGATTAAGAAAGAGAGGGGAAAAAATTAAAAATACATTTTAACATTGAGATATTACATCCTTGCTCTGTGGTCTTATGAGTAAATCTCTTTCTCTGCTGTAACTTGGTGTCTTAGCACATTGACTTGTCACACTTGTCAAACAATTGATCTTCTATGGTTAAAGTAATATACTTTGACATAATTTGAGAGCCTGAAAACAGAAGTAGCCCTGCAAAGTTGTCTTTTGTAGGGGAGATTTGCATCTGTAGAACTAGGAAAGATACCGAGAGTGTGACATCTTTAAAGGTCTGAAGAAGCATTTACCATCTGTCCTCTCTGAAGGCTGCTACCTGCGGGATTTCATCTGTACAACAAGACCACTTTTGCTAACTGTTACAGCAACAGAAGCAACTCACTAGGAGCAGGAATGGATGCACTCAAAACAGGTACCAGAGACTGAGAGGAGAATCAAAGGTGTTTATTCCGGAAGTCTTAGGCGGAGTACCGTCCCAAAACCTGAGCCCCAACCCTCAGTTTCAAGCTGCTTTTATAGAGCTTTTTGTGGCTACAACATACATGTAAATTTAGGACCAGGAATGGTTACTTCCACAACAAACATTGAAGCAGACATTTCCATGGAGGTGCAGTAAAACGTGCTTATAGAAGCAGAGATTGCGGTTAAGGGAAATGGCATGTAGTTGCTTACTTAAGACCCTTGAGGTCAGCTTTCCTGCTTAATTCCTGTTTTTCTATCTCAAGTCAGGCCTCCTCTTCTCCTCCCATTACCTATTTTGCCACATGCTTTGAGACTCCATTCTCTCTGTAACCTCAGGAATGGTATAAAAGCATCAACCATCTGGCTGTTTCTTTGAGTTCTTATATTTTGTA